GAGGGTGGAGGCCGGCCCCCAGGGGGAGGTCCGAGGTGGGGGGAGGTCTGAGGGCAGAGACCAGCCCCGAGTGGGTGGTCCGAGGGTGGAGGCCAGCCCCCAGGGAGAGGTCCAGGGTGGAGGCCAACCCCCAGGGGGAGGTCCGAGGTGGAGGGAGATCCGAGGGTGGAAGCCAGCCCCGAGGGGAGGTCCGAGGACAGAGGGAAGTCTGAGGGTGGAGGCCGGCCCCCAGGGGGAGGTCCGAGGGCGGAGGGAGGTCTGAGGGTGGAGGCCGACCCCTGGGGGGAGGTCCGAGGGCGGAGGGAGGTCTGAGGGTGGAGGGCAGGTCCAGGGTGGAGGCCGGCCCCCAGGGGGAGATCCGAGGGGGTAGGCCTGGCCCTACCCTGGGGGAACCCTGGCGAGTTTCCTCCCTTGGAATGCTGGAGTCAGAATCTCCTGGGCTCAGACTTGCTGAATGTTGAGAGCCTGAGTGGCATGACCGGAGCTTGCCCCATTGGGAAGAGAGTGGGACTCGGTCCTCTGATTCTGCACTGAGGGCCAGCCTTCCCCCCTCGGACCGCCTTGGCAGGTCTGTTGCGTGGTGAGATCCCTGGTCTTCAGCCCTTGCCTCACCCCCAGGCCTGCCACGCTGTGGGCAACTTCCAGGCCCCAACTGCAGAGAAGCAGATGGCGCTGGCCCCTGCCAAGGATGCGCTTCGGGCTCTGACCCAGCGGGGCCACGACTCCGTGTACCAGCAGAACAAGTCCGTGAGCACGGACGAGCTGGGCCCGCCGGGGCGGCTGGAAGGCGTGCCCCGGCCCGTAGCCAGAGAGAAGACATCACTGGGCAGCCTAAAGCGGGCCAGTGTGGACGTGGACTTGCTGGCCCCGCGCAGCCCCATGGGCAAGGAGAACATGGTCACTTTCAGCCACACGCTGCCCCGCGTCAGCACGCCCTCCCTGGATGACCCCGCTCGCCGCCACATGACCATCCACGTGCCCCTTGACGCCTCCCGCTCCAAGCAGCTCATCAGTGAGTGGAAGCAGAAGTCGCTGGAGGGCCGTGGCCTGGGGCTGCCCGACGAGGCCAGCCCCGGGCACCTGCGGGCACCTGCGGAGCCCATGGCGGAGGAGGAGGAAGAGGAGGAGGAGGAGGAGGAGGAAGAGGAGGAAGAGGAGGAGGGCGAGGAAGGCGGTCCGGCCCCACCCTCACTCTACCCCACGGTCCAGGCCCGGCCGGGTCTGGGGCCTCGGGTCATTCTCCCCCCGCGAGCTGGGCCCCAGCCGCTGGTGCACATCCCCGAGGAGGGGGCGCAGGCGGCCGCGGGCCTGTCTCCCAAAAGCAGTGCGGCCGTGCGGGCCAAGTGGCTCATGATGGCAGAGAAGAGCGGGGCGGCGGCGGCCGCGGCCTCCGCACAACCCCGCGTGGCCAACCCCCCGCGGCTGCTGCAGGTGATCGCCATGTCCAAGGCGCCGGGCGGGCCTGGCCCCAAGGTGGCGGAGACCGCCTCGTCCTCCAGCGCCAGCTCCGATTCCTCGCAGTACCGCTCGCCGTCGGACCGCGACTCGGCCAGCATCGTCACCATCGACGCGCATGCGCCCCACCATCCCGTGGTCCACCTGTCCGCGGGTAACGGGCCCTGGGAGTGGAAGACGGCCGGCGGCGCGGCCAAGGGGGTGGAGGGCGAGGGCGGCTACGAGCTGGGGGACCTGGCCCGCGGCTTCCGCGGGGGGCCCAAGCCGCCAGGTGTGTCCCCCGGCTCGTCCATCAGCGACGTGGACCAAGAGGAGCCGCGGTTCGGGGCCGTGGCCACGGTCAACCTGGCCACCGGCGAGGGGCTGCCCCCGCTGAGCGTGGCTGACGGCGCGCTGGGGCCGGCCAGCCGCGAGTCCACGCTGAGGCGCAAAGCCAGCGGCCTGGTGCTGGGCGAGCGGGAGGCCGCGGGCGAGGCGGAGGCGGAGAGCTACTACCGCAAGATGCAGGCGGCCCGGAGGTTCAAGGACTGATGGGGGGCTGGGAGGCCGCATGGGGGCGCAGCTGGAGGCCACTGGGC